GGGTCATAACTGATTCCCGGGTGTAATGCTCAGTGTGCCTTTGCTATTGGCATTATAATAACTGGGTCATGGAGTACAGGCGAGGAATGATTCATGGTGACTTAAATACTTTTCAGAATTTGGGAGTAATCTGTAGTAAAATGCCAAACTATCTTCAAAGGTGTGGGTGGGAGGGACTATTTAAGCCACTTCTTCAAGAAGCAAGTGGCTGAATATATACTTACATTTCTCATTGTTTTTAGTTTTGCAAAACAATACAAGGAGCAGAGAGCTTAAATAAACCATGTCTTATGGGTCTATGGTTCCGTGTAGACAGGTGTTCCTACTAAGTATGGCAAGGGAAATACTTCAATGAATGGGGAAATAAATACTTTGAGTTTTAGACCTAATTCTCTGTTACTACCTTCTGTTTGGTCTGCAAGCACTTACTGAGCACAGAATATATTCCAGGCACTGGTCTAGGTCTTATGAAAGCTCTAAAAATAAATAAGCCAAAAATCGTTGCTTTCTGGGGTCTCACCACCCAAAAGGGAAGACAGATTCATACATACACAATTTAATATAAGTCGGTCTGGTGTAAGTATTAAGCTATAATTTCCTTCATAGTGTCCTCAGAATATCTCAGTCATTCTCGCTGGGAGCGGGGTCCAGAGCTGATTTTAAAAAGTCAGGATGCGCACTGTGATTTTAAGGAAGGGTTCTCATGGCCATGGGTGCTAAGTGTGTTCCATCCCTCCTGCCCCTGTGCCCACAGCAGCTTCACCCACTACTGGCACTGCTCTCCCTCATGATCCTGACAGGGAGTTCCAGCAATGCCTGATCACCCATGAGAGTGTCAAGAGAGCTGAAGTTCCTTTGCCTTTTTGAGAAATCTTAACATTCCAGTGTTTCAAGATGAAACACACATCCCAGGCCCCCAAAGGTGTCCTCCAGTCTACAATGAAAGCTGCAAACAGCTCTGAAGCCTGGTGAGCAAGTTGCTCCCTTTTCCATCATCTTTCAGTTCTTCTGATTAATCAAAAAGTCTCAATCTAGCCAGGTTGGCTCAGTGGATAGAGCATTGGCCTGTGAACTGAAGGGTTCCGGGGTCAATTCTGGTCAAGGGCACATGCCCAGGTTGTGGGCTCGATCCCCAGTGGGGGGCATGCAGGCAGCAGCTGATCAATGATTCTCTCTCATCATTGGTGGTTTTATCTCTCCCTTCCTCCCTGAGTCAATATATATATAAAAGAAAGTCTCAGTTGATACTAGCATGGCCTTAATGTGGTGTCCACATGACCTCTCACACAAGGGTGGAGCCACCCAGACTCTAGCTAGAAGAAAATAAGAGATTTCTGTCTAGACCATGTTTATTTATTTTTTTAAAATATATTTTATTGTTTTTCACAGAGAAGAAGGGAGAGGGATAGAGAGTTAGAAACATCGATGAGAGAGAAACATCGATCAGCTGCCTCCTGCATACTCCCAACTGGGGATGTGCCCGCAACCAAGGCACATGCCATTGGCCGGAATTGAACCCGGGACCCTTGAGTCCGCAGGCCAACGCTCTATCCACCGAGCCAAACCAGTCAGGGCATCTAGACCATGTTTATTTTTAGTGTTATCTCCCATTTATGATATCATCTCAAATTTCCTTGTAAATTTAAGTTAAAAATAAGAATTGATTAAAAAAACATTAAGTAAAACAATGTGGGAAATTGGCATTAAACATGGCATTAATGACCACATATTAATACATCAGATATTTGTTCTGTCCCTGCCATGCTAGGGGAGGTCCCACCCTAAAGCGCTGAACCAGACAGACCCCTTTACTGTCCTCAAGGGGCACCCAGGTAGGGAAGGGAGACACCAAATGGTTAATTATGAGTGAGATGGGCATTGCTAAACAGAAAGATGCTGGGAGGGGGCTAACCTAGTTGGAAAGCTTTTGAGAGTCAAGTTAGGAGGCTCCAGGGGTGGGAAGGGCAGCTGAGCGAGGTGGGTGTGCTTGTTCCGACTGGGCTGACCTATAGGAAGCTTCCAATTTTGGGGGCAGATCTTGGACATCAGAATAATGTCATATTGTGAGAGCGCTAAAGAAAGCAGAGCACTGTGGTCTGCAGGGGTGGCGAACTTGGGGTGGGGTGTGGAGGAAGGCCTCACTGAGGGTGACTTTAAGCTGAGAAGTAAACAATTAATAAATCTGTTGAGCAATGAGCTGGGAGAAGGGAGCTCGGTGGTGGAGAAACTGGCGAGAAGTGTGAGGGAACAGCATCTGCAGCCCGTGGGGTGGCTAAATATTTGGATTTTACCTTTGGTGCGAAGAAGATATTAAAGGGGTAGAAGCAGAGGAGTGAAGGACTGAGAATAGTTTTCCTAAAAGGTGGCCTGGCTGGAGAAGGAATTAGAGGGAGACAGTGGAAGCCAAACAAGAAGTGACAGGAGCTGGGTGGTAGGGGCGAGGACGGGCAGGAGGGACGAGGGGGTGCTCTGTTGCCCCATAAACCTGTGTGGTGTTGAGTCAGCGGCAACATGAGCAGTTCCTTTGCGGGAACTGCCTTCCTGGCTCTTTGTGTAGCACACACGGCTCCCCTGTTCAAGGCTGCTCAGAGCTAGTGCAAAGTCTGTGCCTCCCTTCCGTCCTGTGCTTCTCACAGTCCCAAGTCCCGGTAGCCTTCCTGGACCATTTGCTAGTAGATTGGTGGTGAGAAATATGCCATGATTTTGGAGGCTGTCTCTCTCTCTCACACACACGCACAGCATCCATTTTGCATGAGTTTCCTCCCTAGAACCAAACTTTTCTCCAACTGCCGGTTATTGAGCAGTCACCCACCCATGCTGGGCTTTCCTGGGGTCCTAATCAATCACCTCATGCTCTCATTTGATACCAAAAAAAAAAAAAAAGGTATTGTGCTGCCACTTTGCTTCCTTAGAACCCTGAGGTTATTCAACTATTTCTTTGTGCAAAAATATGTTAATGGCCTTTCTTCTAACTCTCTGTGTGCGGGATCTTATGAACTGGAACCCCAGGCTGATTGCTAGATGGTGAGACCTTTAAGTGCAATCAGATTCCCTCTGGTCACTGTGAAGGCTCCGAAGACCAGGTCTTTGCCCTTTGTCCAGAGGAGCTCAGGTAATCAACACAGCATCCATCCTCTGATGAGTTGCCAAAGCTCTGGCTTCAGCCTAACTTGCTTGAGTAAAAGCAAACGTTTTTTTAGCGCTGCCAGTGGGGCCCAAATGCTGAAATAAGCTCTTATATTAATTAATGACAGCTACTTTCAAGGAGCATAGAGTGTTGATGTTTAAGAATTTGTAACCCCCCAAAGTATTTATTAACGAGAAAATCACAGCCCTGGAAAATAATTATGCCAAACCACTGTACTATAACAGAACCCAATTGCTTATCCAATTATACATTAAAGTATCACATTGTCAAGCCGATTGCCAAAGCAGCAAATGAGACTTTGCCCTCATCACAGTTTGGACCAGATATTCCTCAGTCGACTGTACTGAGAAAGGTCTTCAGAGCATCCTATACTGTATAACCTATAAAACCTGTGCAAACCAAGGCGGGCAACTCATGCCTGCCATCAGAAAATCACTTTAATTGGTTGGATATTAACATATGCAGGTTTCCATCGGAAGCTTGCTAAGAGCAGCTCAGAAAAGGGCAACCCTGGCTTCTGGTCCTACGCAGAGTTGATTTTGATTAAAACATCAATGAGGCCCTTCCTGTCAGGGGAGCCAGCAGGGAGGCTAACTTGAAATCTGAGGTTAAAGAAAGGCCTGCTGCACTGCCTCCTGGCGGCCACCATTCAGAGCTTTCTTACAAGACATCAGGCGGTTAAGGAGCAGGACTTAGAAGCTAGACTATGGCTGGGGAGAATGTGGGGGACAACAAGGGAGTCAGTTCATTTGAGAACTGTCTGCACAGAGCGAAGTGCCATCTGGAGTTATTCCTAAGACACTCCACGGCTGCCATTTCCTTCAGGGCTTATTCCAGTCAGCCTCATGTTTGCGAGGGATGAGACTAAGCTGCCTAATCCCTGGGCTCAGCATTTCAGATGGAAAGCCCTTTACAGCAAGAGCCTGACCACTGCTGTAGTCATCAGCTGCATAAACCCAGGAGCTCATTCTCCTCAAATTATAATAAGCCCCCAACAATAGTTAATTGGGCAAAGAGCCTCCTTCCTGCCTAGCTCCGATGCTCACAGTAGAAATCACCAAATCACAGAACTGTCCATCTTCCTATCCCCGCTGCTCGCTGTGCCTGACCCCTGGGAGCAGAATTCCCAGCAGCACTTTCCCTCCCGACTCACTCACTCTGTTTTCCAGGTGAAAATCTGAGCCTCAGGAACTCACATCCCAAGGCTAATTAGGAACAGTATTTGTTGGGATTAGACATATCGTTTGCTGGACCCGCTCTGTACATTATTGGGAACGTCATTTGGTTGACATTTTAGAAAGCGTAGTTGACAAAGCAGCACAGAACAGAAAAGCTAAGTTGCAAAAGAGATCAGCCTCCACCAGGGGCAGGGCCTGGCGGTCACTCCTCTGCGAAGGCAACTCCAGGTCAGGGCAGTTTTCAGGAAGCAGCGCCTTGACCAGCACCTGCCCAGGCCCCAGGCTCCAGTTCCAGCCTCCCTGACCCTTCCCCGCTCTCAATGGGTAAGAAATTGGTGAAGCGTCAGGAACTAGAGACTTCTACCAGTTTGATTTCCTCAGGCCTCCCGTTTCTGCAAACATGCTCACCGAGAAATGAAAGCCTTTCTAAAAGGAATGGCTGTGACGCAGCAAACTTCGGGGAGGGAAACACTGGTTCCAAAAGCAATGTTCTTGGCCAGTCGCATTGCGTGAGCCTTTCGCTGTGTTTGGGATATCGGTGCTTGAGCAAGTGTTGCCCTGACTCCTGGAGTGATGTCAGAATGAGGAAAGGGAAGCGGCAAAGGGCCAACTTCTGGTTTCATTTCCATCTTCTAAACATTTGTTTCATATGCACTATGGCTTCTTTTTTTCAGAGGCACTAAGAGAACCTTGAGAAGCAGGATCCGGGCACTACAGCAATTCCTCAGGACGGTGGAATGTCTGCGCTGCACAAAGGTAAGCCAACACAGAACATGCAACCAAAACTACGCCACCACAGACAGCCTCAGACTCCTGCTCAACACCATGCTGCAGGCAGCAAGGCTGAGCCCTGCAGGTAGACCCACCGGGAGAAGCTGAATTAGGCTGGGGGCACGTACAGCACAGGTCCCCCAAGCGTCGGAAGCTGGTTTCTCTAGAGAACTCGCTCAGTTGTTCAGCAAATAGTGCCGTGTCTACCAGGCGCTGGCGCCGTGTATTGCACCTGCACCGCGCAGTGGGGAGCAAGCTGGACACGGCCTGGTGCCCCTCCGGAGGCTTCCCTTCTAGGCAAGAGAGCAGGCAATTTGCAAGTAATCGAATCCATTGCCACCATGAGAGAGAACAATGAAGAGAACCAATGAGACCGCGTGGTCAGGGAAGACTGCTCGGAGGAGGTGGCGGTTAGCTGAGAGGGATCAGAGGAAGGATGGTGTCTGCGTGGTCATGAGCTGCCTGCCGAGCAGGGGTTGGAGCAGAGAGAGGAAGTGCCCAAAGAGAGGGCAAGAGATGAACAGAGACGAGGTGAACCTCCCTTCCTCGGAACTGGAGGCTGGAAGAGAATGGGGGTCAGTGATTCATTTGGTCGCATCACCCTCGTTAAGCACCTACTTTTTTAGGCTCAGAAGAATGGTAACCTGTGGAGACACAGTATGTCCAGGTGCTCGAGGAGAAGGTAGAGAGGCAGCCAGAACAGCTGGCCCAGCGTGGCTCTGCGCCTGGGCCTCTCCCTCACCTTAACATCAGCTCCACAGAAAAGCAGGGGAGCGGCAAGCTATTTGCACAAGTGGTGGCCACAGTGGAGCAGGCTGACCTCGCAAACTTCTTTCCAACGTTCACCATATGTTTGGCAGAGCTACCCTAGCACCCTCCGGCCAGGTGCCTAGCACCGGCACCACGTCTTGGCAGATGAAAAACGACTAATGTGAAATCTCTATTCCACCCCTCTGATGGTCATGATTCCTCCTTTCTATACGACTCCTTCTGCCTCGGTTACAAAACTGCCCCCCTCACAAACACATTCACTTCGCAGGGAGCTGCTCCCATGCCCTTAAAAGAACTTGGCCCACATGAGCTGACAAACAAATTAGGAGCCAACCTTCCCAAATGCCTCTCTCTATTTCACTTGCAAACCTTCTTTAATGAAGACATAAAGCCTGGATGTGGCTGAAACGCTAAGCTCACCATGTGTGGCGGCAGATCTTTGTCACACGGGATCTCAAACATCTTTTCATTTTTTAAGCCAGAATATTGAATGGAAAGAAACTGAGGCTTCCTTATTGCTGGCTCAATTTTAAAAACCCTAGAAGTGACCATAACCCAGAAATCAGCACAGACAACAGAGATATGAGGCGACTGCAAACTCACTTCTTCACCATGGGGGAAAAGTTAAAGTGCATTTCCAGGCTTGTGACCATTTCAAAGTACCAGGCCCGAAAAGAGATGCCCTCCCTCTTTCTGCCTCCTACTGTGTATCTAACCTCCCAATTATTTATTACCAAGAGGCACAGTAGACAGAGCCAAGCCTGGGACTTATATTTATACCTATAAATATACACACATAATAAATAATATGCATAATATAAATATGAATATATAAAAATAGGGATATATACAAATAGAAATAATATGTTATATAAATAAATATATATATATCTCCTAGGCTTGGATTATGTGTGTGTGTGTATGTATATATATATACATATATACATGTATACATATATACATATATATGGCTTGAATTTTACATATTAGTATCTTTGATATTCTCATTAAAGCTGAAAATATTAATGTTGAGAGTTATACCTGTATGAATTAATCACCCACAAAAATCTTTTTTAAGTGTCCTAATCTTTTAATTAATCTCACCTCAGTGCCACCAAAGGGTTTAAAGAAGTTTATTTGGTTGATTTGAAAGGATAAAAGATCAAAATGCTTTAAAATAGTTTCTTATAATTTCAGGTATCAATTTAAAGGCCCCAAAACAAATATTTTTGTAAATGCTCATTCCTAGACTCAGTGTCTGATGCAGATCTGTGACGCTCTCCAGTCTGAGCACCGCTGGGGTATCCCTCCTGCCATACTGCCTCCGCGGCACACGTGTGCCCTGGCTTGAAAGCTCCAGGGGCAAGGGTCTGATTTGCAGATGCTCGTTAGTCATTAAACATCACTTCAATGGCTATGTAACGGCAGGCCACAGATGAAACAAACATCTCTGGGCAACATGTAGGATCACCACATAGGATGATTGCAATTTCCCTCCCTGTGGAAATCCCGCTTCCATTGCAGAACCTCCATAGGATTACTGCACAGTAGCATTTGCATGTGAAAGCACTGACGTTATTAATTGGATTCCAGATGTCTGAAATTGATTTATCCCTCCACTGAACGTCCCCCCACCGACACCCCCAGGATCTGTTTGGGTACAACACTTCACACAGGATGCTGCTCTTAATTAAAACTGCTCTGCCTTAAGAGCTTTATGTCTGTGAGACAGTCATCCAAACGTCGTTCTCTCCATAAATTTGCTCTCATGTCCTAGTTCTGAAGCAAAAGTAATACTTGCTGGATTTTAATAAACACGTCTGCAGTAGTAATATAAATTTCACATGTTTTCTACATTTTATAGCTTCTTTCAGTCCTCTTGTGTATGCGCCAATTCCTATACCGAGACTGTATTCCAGGGCTCCGAAGCCCTAGCTCCATTTCTGCTGCCCACCATTTGGGGACAACAGACAGTCTGCTGATTGATATTTAGGTAGGAAACAGAGTGTTGGAAAAAGCCATTAATTCCCAAGCTATCTGCTCCTCTAGCTCTTTAATTTTTGATTTTGGCAATAATTGACTCCAATTGGCTTACTAGCCAATTTATCAGTCCAAGATCTGCGAGTGTTCCTAATTAGTTGTTCAGACTGTGTCAATCAGATGCCAAAATAAAAAATTTTAAAAACCAGACAAACTAATTTTTTTGGCATCCCAAAGGCAAAACCAACCACTGATTGTCCTTTCATTTTGCAAATGGTTATTTGGGCCTCGGGTGGAGAGAGAGTTTGTCTACTGATAAAAGGAGTCAGGTTTAGGCAAGCAGCAGGGAAAGCGTGAGAAACAAATGCTGCTCTATGGGAAACAGGCCCCTGTCCCTGGCCGCAGGGGCAGGGCTTTCAGTCCAATGGCAGGGACCCTTCTGCTTCAGGGAAGTGAAACAGGGAAGGATGGGAGCCAGAGAATAATGACAGCATAATCGTATTATTGTTCTAATACTACTGTTATTCTTAATGGATTCCTATTACGTGCTCGCTAATTGCCAGGCTCTGGAACAGAAATGATCTCACTTAATCCTCCTAAGAGCTCTTGGTGCTGCCATCTCCCTTTTCGGGCGAGGCAGGTAAGGCTCAGAGATGTGATCTTATCTTACAGCTTGCGGACGGTGGGCCTCCAGAGCCCCTCCCTCAACCTTCCTTCTCTGTCTCATGGACAGTACTGAACATCTGCTGGGCGATGGAGACTAAGATGAAGTCTCTGAATCAGAGCACTTTTGCACATGGGCTCTCATTGGATCGACTTTGAGCAGGCAAGAGGCACAATACTGTTGTCCCCATTTTGCAGAGAAGGAAACAACAGCCCAGGAAGGTCAAGTGAATAGTCTGAGCCTTCCAGTCTTGCTTCTCTACTAAAAAGGACCCTCAATTTAAAAATAGGGGTGGCCTGCATCTAGTTCACAACTGACTTTATACAACCAGAACTAGGCACACAGTAGGTGTTCACTAAATACTTCTTGTCCAGATAAACACCCACATCAGATATTCAGAAGGCCAACACAGTTATGGCCATCCTTAGCCTCAAAGAAGAGTTTGTTCTCAAAACGATTGTTATAACACTAATGCAAGAGCAGAGACATATGCTGTAAGAGAGATACAGAACAAAGTGGCATCTCATCAACCTGAAATTCAACTATATTTACTTAATACATTTTTGTAATATAGTAAACTTCTGAGTAGAAGCCAAACTTTGAGTGTCCCTGGTCTCAGCCCATGGACCCCAATGGTATTCCCCTCTTTCAAGGATAATTGGAGAGAAAACCAAATAGCAAACAAAGGACAAATGAAGGTATGTTTGAGGTCAGCATCCTACCCTTATTTGTGACCCATCACTAATGGCAATTTTATTGTTTCAGAGGTTGGATAATCACCAAGAAAGATGACCTCTGCTTGTCCCAGAGCTAATCATCCTTCGAAAGAGGAACTTGAGAGAAAATGGAAACAACAGTTGGGGGCACAGGCTGTGGTGAGCAGTGAGCACCCCTGGCCGCCTCCCCTTCCTGAGCTGCTGCGATGCTACAGATCTCCACTGGGTGCAGTGGGCACCTGCACGTCCCACAGATTTCCTTCTCATTGTGGACACTCTGCTGTGTGGCTCCCTAATTGTACATGTGCAGTGTCTGCAGCAAATGGAGGTTCCTGGGCTTCTGCTCGCCGTGGATCACATGTTTAATCCGTATATATAATTACTTACCACAGGCTGCCAGGCCAGATTTTCTGAGCATTATTTTGATTAACTTAAGCTCGATAATTATGTTTCAGAGACCACAGCAGTACACATGGAATTTGTAGATTATGCCGCCAGCTTACTTGATTCCAATAACATGTTTTCTCTGACAGTGGGTTAGTTTTGATTTTTTTAAATGGCCATCTGATAATTATTTAGGTTTCAAAGTTTCTACTCAAACAAAATCATCCTGCTATTTAAGACAGTTTCTCACATAATGAACAGCCTAGACTGAAATAGTAGGCTCCCATGTATTTTCACAGGCACAAATCTGTTTTTACTACTCTACGCCCTGCCGGGTGGCAGGCTCGGACACATCACACAGACTTTCGGAGCCGGGGCCTCTGTAAAATGGGGTAGAGGACCTCATTCTGTATGTGTCTCCTGGGGCAGCCATAACAAAGTACCACAGACCTGGTGGCTTAAACATGGAAATTGCTCGTCTCACAGCTCTCCAGGCCAGAATTCTGAGGTCAGGCGTGGACGGGACTGGTTCCTTCTGAGGGAGTGTCCACTCCATGCCTCTCCTCGATTGCGGTGGTCAGCTGGCAGGTCTGGCATTACTTCACTGCTAGCCCATCACCCACATCTCTGCCTTATCTCCCCATGGCATCCTCGCATCGCTGTCTCTGTGTCCACATTTCCTTTTGTGCAAGAATACCAGTCTTTCTGGATGAGGGCCCACTCTGATGACCTTATTTTCACCCGATTACCTCTATAAAGGCCCTATTCACAAACAAGGTTACATTTCGAGGTACTGGGAGTTAGGGCTTCAACATATTTTTTGGGGAGCGGGTATACAATTCAGTCCATAACGCATATGCATGCCTACTACATAGGGTGATAATCCACATGGGGGCCTCGGCAGTGTCTGGCACACAGCACGCTCAGCAACTTAGTTATCATTCGTGTGGCATGTCTCATGCCCCAACTCTCTCACCGACAAGTGCTGGAGATTTTCTGTTTCTTTCGTTTCTCCATTTCTCTCATTTTTTCATCAAGGGGAAATGTAAATGAAAAGGCAAAACACAGATCAGTGCAAACATAGAAGGTGCTACCACTGACCGTCAGCTCTTCTCACTTAACTATTCCCTCACCTGGGCTTATGTGGTAAAACAGATGCATGCGTGTAACACACATGGAAACCTGCCTCGGCCAGTCTGTGTCAGTTATTTGAAAAATTATCTTAAATAGCAGAATGATTTTTGTTTGGGGGAACTTTGATACTTAAGTAATTGTCAGATGGCCATTAAAAAAATCTAAATGAACCCACTGCCAGAGAAAACATGTTATTGGAATCAACTTGCCTCACTTAATCTAAAAGAGTTTCTGATTCTGCCTGGAGCACGTACTCCCCCTGTTCTCTTGACTAGCTCCTTCTTACCCCCTGAGTCTGAACCTGAATACAGCCCCTTCAAAGAGCCTTCCCGGGCCACCTTATTGCTGGCTGCCCCCCAGTCTCATCAGAGAATGTTCCCTTCGGGGGTGGCAGCCGCAGCCTTGCTGCTCCACAGAGCACACCATCGGGGCTCCTTAGACTCACAGACTCTCAGGCTCAGCCAGGTGAGTCTGAAGCCCTGTGCCTTGTCCAGGCCAGTGGCCAGGAGCCCATGTGTCTCTTGGCACGTAAACCATAGACAGTCTGAGCGGATGTGCTGAGCATGTAGAATACACACCAGATTAAACCTAGTGCCAGAAAGAATATAACATTTCTCATTAACATTGTTTTATAATGATTACCTTTCTAAATGATAATACTTTGGATATTTTAGGCTAAAAATATATTACAGTAAGGTTTAAAATTACGCGTGTGGCTCACATTATATTTACATGGGACAGGGCTGCTTTACAATGTGAGAAGCGCCGCCCGATAACGATCCAGGATGAGTGTTGGCAAAGAATAGCCCGTGGGTCAGGTCTGGCCCAGGGCCTGTTCTGGTAAATAAACTTCCCTTGGAACAGAGTCCTGCTTACTCATAACACTGCGTCTGTGCTACACAGGCAGGTGCAGGCGGTGCCACAGAAAGCAAGTGGCCTGCAGGCCTGAAGTGTTTACTGCTTGGCCCTTCACAGGAAAGGTCAGCCACACCCTGGTCCAGGGCACCGGTCCCAGGGCTGGGCTGCCTGACTCCAAGTCATGGCTCTACTGCTTTTCATGTCTGTCCCCATTTCTGTATCTAAAATCAGGGATACCGGTTGTTATAAACATGAATATTTTAAAATTCTGCCTTGCACACAGTAGGTTCTCAATAAATGTTTGCCACCATTGCTATTATTGCTAACAATCACCACAAGTTACAATAACTCATTTTTGCTTTGTTACCTTTTTTTCTTGGGTGTTGCCCCACCATCCTAAAAACACCAGGAGAGCAGGGGCATTTCCTGGCTTGTCCCAGCTGTTCAACTGAGCACAGTTTCTGGCACATACTAGAGGTTCAATAAATATTTGTTGAAAGAATGCGGTACTGAGGAAAGTAATTTGGCCAATACGTGGGCAGGGCTTGTGGCTCTGGTTCTTCGTGCCCCTGAACTCTTCACCTCTCCTGCTACACCAAGTGTGGTCTTAAGCCAGCAGCATCCACACCACCTGGAGCTTGTTAGAAATGCCAAATCTTAGGCCCCACCCCAGACCGAATGAATCAAAAACTCTAACAGGATCTGCAAGAGACTCATGGGTACTTTTCCATCTGAAAAGTGCTACTTGGACTATAATTCCCAGTCAAGACACATCTGCTTATTCATTCAATGAGTAATTAATGCAGTCATTACCAACCTTTCCACTGAGCTCTGTTCCCACTGCCCAAGACCAGGGCTGACTGCTATTCACTACCCAGCTCAGGGCCGGGGTGCTAGGCTCCACAGTGAATGCCACTGTGCGGTGTCCGAAAGTGCCCTTTCTCCTAACAGCTTCAAACCACTGCACAGAAATCTGCTTATCTTTCCCCACCAGCCCCTGGTGACCGGCCGCCGTCTCCCGGGGAGGCAAGGGCTCTGAAAATCCACTCCTCGCCCTCGGGCGCCTGCCTCGGGAAACTGTTTCTCCTCTGCATTTTACACGCCAGTGGCTGCACCACCCAAACATACAATCCACTCGCAAATGTTAGCTCAGGCACCGCTCGTTGTGATTCTACAAATGAAAGCAAATCACCTCTTCCTCGTATTGCACGCCAATTAACATTCTTCCCACAGACTCCATTTCTCGCTCGTGGCCGGCTCCGAGCTTCTACGCTCTTCAGCTCGAGATTTTCTTAGAAGTGGCCCGTCATGTGGCACCTCCGAGGATGAGGGTGTTTAAACTTAGCACAAAATCTCACGATGAATTCCCATTTGTCACAGCAAGAAGTTTCAAATTGTGGCCATCAGATGAACACTTTAAATTAGAAAAAGACTGATTAGCATAATTCTTACAGGTCTGAACTCTAAACTCACAGATGGCCTCTGAGAGGATTGATGGTGCATAAAGGAGATTAGGATAAATCTAATTAGTGAGGGGTGTTCCGTTTCTGGAGTGAAGTGGTGAGCGATGGAGAGAAGTGATGGATGAACAGATGGATAGAATGAAGCCCATTATAGCCTCTGATTCCCATTTGCGTGATGGAGCACATTACCCCATTAATGCTTCTGTGAGCTCACAGAGCCAGAGTTTGGTGCTGTGACCTCGACAACGAATGGGAATTGGCTGCCCAGGGTTGCATGTACCCACAGGGTTTCAATGAGCCGGAAAGCTCCGTGTGCCTCCTGAGGGAATGCCCTCGCTCCTGGCTGGTTTCCAAGTCACTCAGGCAGAGGCCACAGCTTCTCCGCTCCCACTCTTCTACAGTTTTGAATTTCCTTGGAAACAAGCTCTGGTTTGCCCATGTTCCCGAGGTGATGGGCTGACAGAGTCGGCTGTTCTCTCCACTGGGGTGATGGCTACACATTATCACCATTGCACGCGGAGGGACCTCGTAATAGGGTCTAAGGAAGAAAAGTGCCAAGACAGGGCCCTTTCCTTGAGGGGCTCATGACTCAGTGACAGAGACGTGGGATAAATGACAATATAGGACATTTCACAGATTAGGCGCAAAGGGGGGCCTGAGTGGCTGTGGCAGCACAGAGGACAGAGGGGAGACAGTGGCTGTCCATCAAGCAAAAATCCTGGAAAGAGGTGGGACTCCCCTGGGATGCGAAGAAGAGCCCATTTCCCCCCGAATGACCACGACCACCTCCTGAATGTCTCCTTGCTTCACTCTCAAGCTGCTACACTCCAGCAACCTTAGAAGCGGACGTCGGGACGTGAGGTCCCGCACAGGAGCAAGGGCAGTGACCCGGGACCCGGAGACAGGCTCATTGCGGGACAGGGCACCAACCACGAGAAGGACATTTCACAGGCTACACTGGCATTCGGGGGCACGGCTTCCGGCTTCGGCTCACGATGGCACAGTGGGAAGATCCTGAGCTCAGCTATTCTCATTGGCACCAAAGCTACAGCTACTAATGAAAGAGTGGTCCCTGAGAACGACCTGGCGACTCACAGAACAGATTTCCTACAACCATGGATCCAGAGGAAAAGCCACATTGAGAAAGTGGGAGGCAGAGCCTCCATCCAGTCAGGACCGCCCCCCTCCCTCCACATGTGGTGACCCACAGGGAGGAGGGACCTCACAACCACAGAGGTGCCCCCCTTGAAGGGCAAGGTGTCTGAGCCCCGGGCTGGGGGACTTGCGCCAGGAAGAGGAGCCCCCATGACACCTGGCTTTGAAAACAGCAGGGCTCGCATCTGGGGGAGACGAAGGGCGGTAGGAAATAAAGGTTGTGCTCTTTCCGAGTCCCAGTGCGGAGGGAGCACTTTGAAAGACCTGGGTCGTACATGAAGGTGATACACTGAGTAACATTAGGGTGTGTGTTGGAACTTTCTCCAGAGTCGGAAGTGCTGGGGGCACTATTTTCCCCCACTGTCTTTACTCTTTGCCCACCTAATTGGTCTGACCCTGGCAGACGCCATTTCTGACATTCTCCATTAAGCTTGCTAACACTGTTCACCCACCCTGGCATTTCCCTGAGGACCCACCACGCTGGCATCCTTCCAAAGTGGCTCCTGCCCTGCCACACCTGGGGGGTGGCCTGCGTCAGCACCAGCACAGCAGTGAGTTTGCCCCATCAAGGCTGGGCCTCGCAGACAGCCACACTGAAGGCCGCCCCTGCACCAGTGTGCCTGCAATAGCTGTGGCCAGGTCTCGCAGCCAGCCAGGCCAGGGACCAGCCTCACCTGCCAGTGTGTCCGATCACAATAGGAGGCCATATAGTTCACACAGGGGACACCTCGAGAGCACCTGGCTCTGGTGACAAGGGTAGATTCCACCACTGGGCCCCACAGGGCACCTACTACATAGAAACAAACAGGCCAAATGAGGCGGCAAAGAATATGCTCAAGGGCACCCCCCCAAAAACATAAGAACTAAATGAAACAAATATATGCCATTTACCAGATAAACAGTTCAAAGGAATGTCCCCAGGTTTCCCCAGACTCGCCTCTTGTCCTTTTGTTATCAGTTGAAATGATACCTCCTTGGTGAAGCCTTTTCTAAAATTTGCATCCAAATTCATCTGTTCTTGTGCAAATACTTTTATCATATGTCCCTATTTTATTTCCTCTCACTGCCTGAGATTGTGTGCATGTGTGTTTACTTGTTTTGTCTGCCTTCCCCACTAGCATCATATCTTTGAAGGCTTGTAGGCCTGGGCCGGAACTGCCTTGTTCACCACCATATGCTCCGGGGCCTGGGCCATTGAGGGGGATCAACAGCATTTACTGAATGAAGAGGAACATTTGTTTATAAGCAAACAAAACTCAAATGGAGGAGGTAAGACTGAAGACAGATGATATGCTGGGGCTCAGTGCGGAGGGAGCACTTTGAAAGACCTGGGTCGTACATGAAGGTGATACACTGAGTAACGTTAGGGTGTGTGTTGGAACTTTCACCAGAGTCAGACGTGCTGGGGGCACTATTTTTCCCCACTGTCTTTACTCTTTGCCCACCTAATTGGTCTGACCCTGGCAGACGCCATTTCTCCTGGGAGGGGAGGGGATAAAGAACAAAAGTGAAGGAAACTTCCAAAGTGAGGGGAAGTCTAACATCTTTCTTTTGTTGAGTGACCACATTACCCAGGAGGCCTTGGGCATACACAGGAGCAAAACAGCCATGACCCCTGCCCTCACGGAGCACGCTGTTTAAAGTTCATCCCCATTTTAGGACAAGGGAGGGTTAAGCCTTTTTTTTTTCCTGCAAAGGGCCAGACAGTAACTGTTTCAGGCTCTGCAGGCCACAGCCTGTGCTGCAGATACCCCGCTCTGCTTCGTCCTGTGAAAACAGCCACTGGCAGGGCACACGCATGGTTGTGCTGCAGTCAAACTTCATTCACACAAACAAGCAGCAGGGGCCAATTTGACTACCCCAGGGACAGGCTCTCCTTTTGTAGGAAGTTCCTTAGGTTTATTACACAGAAAAGTGGGCTTTGGTTGAGTCATAAGGGTCTTGTGTATAAAAACCTAAGTTTATTATTTACCTGAAATCCTCTCTACAGCTCTTACAAACAATAAATAGACCTGGGCTGTAGACCTGAGGTTCCTGTTAAGCTTTTGTTTTAATTCTCTCCACTAACCAGTGTTAGTAACCAACCTCACAATTACATGGAGTTGACTGGACTTAACCTGATGAAGAATAACGGAAAGTGGCTAATGATGTATGGCTATTGCACTTCACCGCTGGTAGACAGAAAGGGGAGGGGCTATGGGTTAGGTATTGTGATCTAAGGTTAAGCAAAGAGCCTGGGGTACCAAGATGTCAGCCAGGGCGCAGAGCAGCAGCTAAGGGTGCTGGCCTTCAGGAAACATGCGGTTGTTGGCTCATTAACTTGGACATAAGAAAGAATTTCTAGAAAGAAGGTGCCATCCTGTGTACAGTTCTTCCCCTGGGGTGCTTTGGGAAGTAATGGATATGATCAGGAAAGTAAATCCTGTTAAGGAAAGAGGGGTAATTGGCCCGTCAGGCACTGAAAGCCAGGCCCCGGGAACTGGAGGCAAGAGAATCGAACCTTCATGTGCACAAGCCATTCTGGGCTTTCTCCCTGGATCACATTTCTGGTGACTGTTTGCTGGTTTCCGGGAGCCGTCAATTTGAAAATTTGGGCCCAATGTGTCTGCTCCCATGTGCCACACTTGCCCACATTCGCCCCATCACCATGAACTTAAGTCTGAAGGTATATTACGAAGACATAAAGACTGTGTATGAAAACATCACTTGTTCAAAACACCAGTTTCTTCTGTATATAAACTCAGATTGCCCAAAAAGACTAACATAGAACAGTGGAAGGCCTAGATGTATTGATCTAGGCATGCTGGGTTAACCTTGCTTCTACACCAAGAAACCAATCAGCACCTCTCCTCATGGGGACCCTCCCTAA